CCTCAATCTCCGGCGTGCGTCCTCGGGGCTACGTACATTTACTGACACCTCCCACGCACCCGCAAACCCGCCCGCCCCAACTTATACAGATGAAGGCCCTCCTTTGCCTGCGCATGCCCGCGCCGATTTGGCATCACGGCTGGGCCGGACGCGCGTCCTTCACACATTCAACGCCATTCTCCGCTGCGCTGCTGCTGCGGATGCGGCGGGCGGCGGTACTGTCGCTGCGGCGGGCTTGGAAGCCTCCGTCTCGCCTGCAGAAGCCTCCTCCTCCTCCACCCCTGTGGGGGCAGCAGCCGTACATGCCGTGGGTCTGCTTCAGGGATGCATTACTGAAACCCTCAAGCCGTCTCTGGCAGACACGCTCCTGGAGATCTGGGCCGAGCAACCGGACTCTGCGGCCAGCAGTAGCGGCGGCGGCGGCAGCAGAAGCCGCAGGCGCGGGCGGCAGCGGGAGCGGACGGCAGCACAGAACGACGACCCGTGGGATGCTCGGCGGGAGCTTGGGCTGTTTGTTACAGTCAGCAAGCTAGCGATACGTGAAGCCGCCGGACTGGAAAACTCCATCCGATGGGGAGTGCTGGCGGTTGCAGGGCCACAGCCGTCAACGGAGCCGGGGGTCGTCTCACTCTCGGCGCCGGCAGCGGATGCGACAATGGCGGCCTCAGAGGGTGGTGGTGAATTTTATGATACGCCAGGGCCGACCTGCATGCTGCTTTCTAGCGTTTTGGACCCACAGCACGGCCTGACGGCGGTCTGGCAGCGCGCCCCGCCAAGCCTGCGGGCACCCGCTTCGGAGCTGAAGGAGGTGCTGACGCTGACGGCGCGAGCAAGTTGCATGCTGACGGCGCCGTTGCTGTTGCGCGCCGTGTCAGAGGCGACGTCAGGCGGCCCACAGGCTGACACGTTTAGACTCATTTTAGCACTGGAGAGCGCCGCTATTGCCCTGGGCGTCCTGACGTTGCTGTACGGCAAGGTGCCGGCGGCGGCGCTGTTGGTGGCGCAACCGCATCGGCTGCTGGCGGCGCTGGGGGTGACGCTGGGTCGGCTGGATCCGGCGGCGGATGTGCCGTCGCTAGCGGCCGCTGGCCCCGCGCCGGCACCGGCGTGGCCGCTGGAGACGGCAGCGGCGAGCGCTGTGCAGCCAGCGGCCGTGGTTGAAAGTACGACGCAGGCTACAGCCACCGGGACGCCAATGGAGGAGGAGGGCGACTGGCTGGTGGCGGCTGCGGCAGCCCTGACGCAAGCGCGGCGGTTGCTGGCGGCGATGCTGACGGAGGTACGGCAGGAGGGAGGCGAGGAGGGCTGCGCAGGACAGGCCATGTCGCTGCGTGCGCATGCGTTGGCCCTGCTGGGCTGGCCGGCGGCGGCGGCAGGTGTGACTGCGGTTGCGGGTGCGGCGTTGAGCAGCGCCGGTGCGATGCTGCTGGAGGGGCTGGCGGGCTGGGATGCGGCGGAGGCACGTGCGCTGCGGGCGATGTGGCGGGCGGCGGCCGCAGCGGATGGGGGTGCGCTGCTGGACTGGGTGGTGCAGCGGCTGCAGAGCGATGGGGCAGGGGGCGGGGAGGAGCTCAGCGGAGGCGTGCTGGCGGAGGTGGAGGCGGCGGTGGCGATGGAGGCAACAACAGGTGGCGGTGGCGGAGGCGAGGTAGGATGTACGGCAACAGCAGCGGCGGCGGCGGCGGCGTTAGCGACGTTGCCGCCGCCAGTGGCGGTGCCGCCGGTGTGTGGCACGCTGAAGATGTGCGGCAACCCGAGGTGCGGGAACTACAGCGGCGCATGCGAGGGGACTCTGAGGCTGCGGAGGTGCGCCGGCTGCCGTGCCGTACACTACTGCAGCGTGGATTGTCAGAAGCAGCACTGGCAAGGGGGCCATAAGCCGGACTGTGACTTGAGCAGGGGAAAAGCGCCGCGGGGCGAGGCAAGCGCAGGATAGCGTAAAGAGCTAAGAACATGATGACACGACAGGGTTATGGGCACCTGGCATGATGACAGTGTGGCCCTTCCTGTTAGGTTGTGGAACGAAATTCTGTTGGCACAACTGAGAGACGGCGAACGCGCACCATGACGAGCGAACGTTCAGGATTGCTTTGTTGGGTTGAACAGGTCAACGGATGTACGGATAGATACGTGTACGGGCAGACGTACCTTCAACTAGCAGTTAGTTGCGAACACACACTTGTTCGGCACCGGTTCAAGGTGATTGCATGGTACACGGAGGGGACCGTAGCTTTGCAGGGTATACACGGCGTGCGGTGCATGGATAGGACTGGACCTGGTCCCGTTGAAGCTGGAGTAGCGTAAACCCAAGTAGCTATCTCCCTAGTTCAATCATACGGAGCTTCCGCGTTATGCGCGGACAGCTCCCTTGCCGCAGCATGCATGCAACCCGGCGTTGGATTTCCTTTGAAGAGGCACTGCCAAACACAACAGCGGCAGCAGCAGCAGCTCGGCGAAGCTCGTTCCGTTACCGTTACCTTGCAAGGGCAAAATGCCGTACACCAGTCAACCACCTTCACAACCGTTACCAAAGGGCGTACAGGTGTCAAGCAGCGGTCCGGACACCTGATCCAAGACCCCGCCTCCCAGCCCGCTTACCAGCAAAGGCAGCAATGCTCCACCCCCAACAACAACAGCAATGCCCCACCCCCAGGAGCCAGCTGGCAGCTGCTTGTCTTCCGGCAACGTGGCAAACAGCACCGTAACCACATCAGGCTGAACCGCACAGCGCTCACTTACACACACAGCATGAATAGGCAAAACAGCGGACACAACCCCTGCGATGGATCTACCATGCGCTCCATGCAAGTTCCTTCCTGCGCCCTAGCGAAATCTGATATCCATGCAGCAAACACTCCGCCATGACCCGCCAACCATCAGCCCCTATCCCCTGCCCTGTCGCGCTTACATGCAACCCTCTCCAGCCCTCTCAGCAAACAGTGCCTCACAACGCTGGGCAATCCACTAAACAATCCACTCATGAAGTCGAATGCGGCGCTACCCTTTGAGGCTGTATCCCTTCCCACAGAATGCCTTGAAATTGCTGTTCTCCTCCTTCTTCTCCTCCTCCGGCGGGGGCGGAGGCGGCTTGGGTGCGGCGCTGGCGGCTCCGGCGCCCTGCTGCTTCGCCTGCGGGTAGCACGGTAAGAAGGATAGCCAGAGCCGGGGTCAGGGCAGATCAATGGAGCTTCGCTGAACGTCTGCACCCTCTGTAACCTCAGAACATAGCCCTCCAGGCTACAGGGCCGTTCAGCCGTTATGTTCGCTTCGACTCTCGATTTCTAACCTAAGCAGAGCGTCACATTCTCACACACCCGATCAAAATGTCCGGCAAAACGGCATGCGAGCCAGGCATGCGAAACGCTGTTGCCAAGCCTTCCCAACATGCCCACACACACCCACATCTCCCCATCCCCACTCATCCCATAACCAGTTAACCATCCCAACCGCCCCTCCCACCCACTCACCGCCAGCTTCGCCTCCAATCGATTGCCCGTGGGCCCAAAGTTGACAAACGTCCCAGCCTTCTGCTTGCCCCCAGCAGACCCGCTATCCGAGGGCCCAGCACCCGCAGCCGCGGCCGCGGCCGTGCTCCCGCCCGCGCCCGACGTCCCCGCGCCTCCGCTGGTGCTGCTGCCGCCGCTGGGCACCGACCGCAGGGGTACCGACACGGGGTTCGACGGCCCCGCTGCCTTGCCGTCTAACCGCCGGCCTGTTCCAGCAAAGGCTAGGAACTTGGGTTCCTCTGGCTCGGGCTCCGGAGAGGGGCCCTTGCCGCTGGCGGCGGAGGCGCCGGCAGCCCCCGCGGCACCCGCCTTGCCGTCCGCTGCTGGCGCTGCTGTTTGGAAGGATGAGGGGAGCAGGGACGGAGGAGAGGACCAGGGACGTCAGGTGGGAGAGAGGAGCAGGAGGCGGTGTTAACGTTACGAACACCTGAAGTGAGAAGGCTTTCCTGCTTGCAATCCTCTGGAATCCCCTCCCACAGGCAAGGGGCAAGGAGTGAAGGCCCGGCCCCACCTGACGTCGCTGCTGGCGCCGGGGGCTTGGGTGGCACCCGCTCCGGCTCCTTGTAATCCTTAGGCGCCTCGAAATCCACCTGGCAGTCAGTCTCAATGACGGAAATCGCGGGCCCCGGCTTCGCGTCCTTCACCTCAATCTCGTAGTTCTTGTTGTTGTAGTTAACCACGAAGCAGTCGCCCACCGTGAGGCAGCTGTAGCTGCGGAGCGTGCGCTCCAGCACGGCTTTGGGGTTTGTAATGTCTAGGAAGTCGGAGGTCACGGGCTGCAGCTTGACGTAGGTGCCCTTTGGCAACGAGACGCTGCGCAGGCGGATGGTATCCCCCACTTGCAGCAGCAGGTTTTGCATCATCTGAAGGTTCAGGTGAGAGGGCGGATTGGAGGGAAGTTGGGGAGTAGGTTGGGGAGCGCTAGGCGGGGCAGAGCGGGGCTAGGCGTTGGCGGGGTGAAGCAGTGGAAACCATCGCAACAGCCCAGAGCAGGACGACAGGAGCCCGAGGCATACCCAGTGCGGCATGTACACGACGCCCTCCTCGGCGATGAACTCCAGGACACCGCAATGTGTATGGCGCTTGGATTGAACGCCCTCCACCTTGAAGAGCATTGGATACTCGATGTGAAGCGATGCTGCGCAAGGGCAAGCAACCGCAGATTAAGGTTCTAGCTTTTTGTTATTCGTATCAGGTGTAAGTTATCAAGCTGTAACTGCTAATACTACGCACCTAGCCGCTCCAAGGCGGAGGGCGGCATGATGATCTTGTCGCCGTGTTCAGCAGACTGCTTATCAATAAAGGCAACCGGCATTGCTCTATAGAAGGCTTCAAAGGTTTGGGGTCCAAACCCAGGCATTCCAGGGAAACCCCCAAACATTTTGATAGGTGAGCGTTCTAGACTGTGCCAACGTAGGTAGAATATGGCCTTTACAGGTGAAGCTGCGTCGATTGTATATTACACAGCGGCCGTTCAGCGCTCGGTCGCAACATGTGCCGTTTATGCAGCGGCGCTTTGCATTCCACGTCGTAGCAAGGAGCCTCATCTCCGCTTGCCTAGATGCCCGGTTTGCCGGGACCAGTTCAGTATAACCCGTACAAACAGAATTGGACGTATCTGCGTCTGCTGCAGAAGTTCGCTTGACCCTAGTTGACCATCCATTGACGGCTCACACGCTGACCGAACCTTCTTGAACGTAACGCAACCTCTTCCCTCCAACCCCTTCCTCAATCCTCATCCCTACATAACCCTGCGGCCAAACTCAAATTCCTGCCCTGTTCAAAACTGCAGCTGCGTTGGCCTGGGCGGTGGCGGTGGCGCCGCTTCCAGCTTGAGCAGCAGCTTGGGCGCCTCCCACACCATCATGGTGCTGCCCGCCGCCGAGATGGCCTGATTGCCGTCTGACGAGAACCCAACGGCCATCACCGGGCCCGCGTGTCCCTCCAATGTGTGCACGTTGCCGGTGCCCATGTGCGCCAGGAAGGCGGAGCGCTCCATGCCGCCTAGCAGCATGGCTCGGCCGTCGTGTGACACCGCCATGGAACGGACCATCTGCAAGCGGGTTATAGGGTTGCAGTGCATTGTTGTCTGCACCATTTACCACGCCAAAAAAGCTGCCACGAGAAACCCAAAGACAAGAATCTCATCGGTAGTCACTGCAGGGCGCGCCAGCCATGCGCGCATACAACCGAAATACCAACAACGTGAACCCCATGCGTCCCCCTCCTCCTCCTCACCTGCGGTACGGTGACCCGCCGTACCACCGCCGCAAGCCGGTAGTCGTACACCACTACCTCCCCCAGCAGCAGGGGGCTGCTGAAGGCCAGCAGCTTGCTGCCGCCGCCCAGGAAGGAAAGCAGCGCCGGCACGTCCGGGGACTGCGATTGCGCAGAGCCGTCGGCGCCAGCAGCCCCATCCGCGTCACGGCGGCGGCTGCTTCCAGGCTGCGGTTCATTCCGAGATGGCATGGATCACAGTGGATATAGTACGAAGATGTTTACGTGTTGCAACTAAGAAGCTACGAGGGTGCACGCTAAAGCCGGAGAAGCCTGGCATCGAAAGGGCCAATGATGTAGCGGGGTAAGGGCATGCGTCGTGAGGCATGTGCGCGGCTACCAACCGGCAAAGGCACACACCTACCGATTTAATGTCGTACTCCGCAATGGGTGTGCAGGCCGGGTCGTCCCAGGGTGCAGCGAATACTACGAAGCGGTCGCGCCAGCCCACGGCCGTCAGGGAGGCGCCAGTGCCCGGGGATACAGTCAGTGCCTGCAAGGCATCGGTTCAGAATCATACCTGGGCTTTGGGTACCGTGTGTGGAAGAAAGGGGACAGTTGCAAGCATTTTCTGACAGGGCGGGTAACACAGCCCACTACCAGTTTAGCACAGCACATATGGGCTTTGGCATGCATTCAGAAGCAGTGAAGGCCTAAGAGCATCGAATCTGATTACCGAGTGCAGCAGATCGCAACAACCCGCAAAGGACGAGGTAAAGGGTTAAGCGGCTGGGTTCCGTGCCCTTCTGCCCTACCTGCATCGGTCCGGTCCCTGGTCGGGGCGGATCGGGTGGTGGTGGAGGGGTCGAGCGAGGCGGCGGCCCCGGGGAGCGTCTGCTGGGCGGTGCTGGCGCGGGGCAGGCGGTCAGGGCCGTGATGTACGACAGCAGCCGCGTGGAGCCGAGGTCCGTGACAGCCAGGCTGCCGTCGCTGCACGCAAAAAATGTGGAAAACGGGAGTGTGAGTTTGAAGATCCCGCGTTGCATTTTTCACAGGGTTTGACAAGTCGCTACGACCATGCACGGAGGAAAACAAACCGAGTTCAACGTCCAGCATGAAAACTGACACGAGGTCGGACCCCAACTGGAAATGGTCTCAGCTATCAGGCCCATCCCACCTGGACGCCGTGAGCACCAGCGGCTTGGTTGGGTGCACCGCCACGCCCACCACGGGTGCGGGGTGCCGCGCCAGCGCCCAGCGCAGCTCCACTGTCGGCTGCATGGAGAACAGCCGCAACGAACCGTCCTCATAGCCGCCCAGCAACAGCGGGACCGGCGGGGGCTTGGGTGAGGATCCCGACTTGGGCTGGCGTGCAGGCTCTGCTTGAGGAGAGGAGGCTGGTTTGGGCGCCGGAAGGCTGTGCATGGCGAAGGTAGCGGTGGTACAGGCTGAGGAGGACTGTAGCTCAACGGTTGGCTCGGCCTATGGGCGTTGGGGAAGGCATGGATTGGTTGGTGATGGTCGTGCCGTTGGTTAACCACTAGGTTAAGGCGGAACGGTGACGTGCTGTCGACGCCATCTGCTGAAACCAGATGCAGTTAGTTTTTTTGCCATGTCAAATGGGGCTGGAAATTCGCTGGCAAGGTGTCAAATGGGGGCAAAATATTCCGCCTGGGGTGACTGCAGGGAAGACTAAGATGGGAACGGAGAGGTAGGGGGCAACTGACTTGCCAGTGCGCTGGATCCTCACCGCGCCATGCCCAGTCGGGGTTTCCAAATGGTGTTCCACTTATCCTCCTAGGGCTGCACAGCGGCACACAGCTGAACAGCTCCTTTCCTTACCATGTTACATCCAACACGTACGGCGGCTTTTGGGGTGTTTTGGCGCATGTCAAAAGGGGCTAGAAATTCGCCATCAGGAAGTCAAATGGGGCATAAATTATTTTCGCTTTGTCAAATGGGGCTAGAAAATAGGCCTCCAAACGCATGTCAATTAAATTTTGGGCAATACGGTACTTACATCTCCAAGCCCCAGGTACCAGACACGCAGCATGCCGTCTCCTGAGGTGGACGCCATGACCCGTGGGTCGTGCGGTGCTGCCACAAGCGCCAGCACCGGTCCTTGCTGGCCGCATACGATGGGTACACAGCTGGCATCCTGTGGGCAGATGGGCAGACATGAATCAGCATTGCGTGCGTGCACTTCGCAAACATTGCGTGTGTTGCAAACTTGCGAAGTACAGGCCTGCGGGCACGCACCTGCATGCCAACGAACCAGATGGTGGCTGTGGTAGTTGCCACTACGGCGTCCGCCATGCCCGGCTCGGCGGAGAGGCTCCGCACACAGCCGTCCAGCTGCACACTGCTCTCCTCGCACCAGACACCGCTGTGGGTGTCGCGCCTGCGTTCGACGGGCCAGCAGACAACACGAAAATTGACGGACAGGTACATGTTTCATAACGAGAGAATGGCGGGCATAGGAGGGTAGCCGTAAATTTAAGGGCCCGCCCTCGCCTCTTCGTGCAAATCCCACCTGAAGCGCACCAGGTTCCCCGTTTCCGTAGCGACAAGCGCGTGGCTACTGCCCACTGCCATGGCAGTGACGGCGGTGTCGCCAGGAAGTGAAGCCACCTGTAGTTAAGACACGTGGAGGTGAGGGTGGGTCTTTGCCAACGCTGGGTGCTAAGGTCAATCATCGATGTTACGCTGCACCGGCTTGCCAGATGCAAGCGAGTGTGGCAACCAGAAGGAGCGATGCCTTACCTGCACCATGGTTGCTGGGCCGTCGGCAAACGCATTCGCCACGTCGATGTGCCACAGCGGGATCTGACCCATGGGTCCGTCCCCATCGGTGCATTTGGGAGCCTCTGCGACAAGGAGCGCGCCTGCCGGGTCGATTGCTAGCGCCGTACACGGTACGGCGTCGTCTTGGTCACCCAGTGGCACGCTGCGCTGCTCCAGGAAGCTGTATGAGGGCGACGCGGGCATGATCAAAACGGGCCTCGTCATTAAGTATTGCCAGTCTTTAGAGGGGACGGCGTTGCGCAGCCCTCCGACCTTCCTTGAGTCAATCTTTCCCTCCGCATGCAAATACACTGTTTGGGACTGCACCTCGGAAGGCGCATGCAGGCTGCCCAGTCCAACACCCATGTCACAGCAAACCGTTGAGGCGCACCTGTCGAGCAGCGTCCATAAGAGCAGCCCGTCCTTGCCCACGCTGGCAAAGGAGGGGTTGTCGCCGCCCCACAGCCACTCCACCGCAGCCGGCGAGCTCTCGGTGCGGCCCGCTGCCACCAGCAGCCCAGCCGACACGTCCCACACCACTACCGAGCGCTCCGGCTCGCGCCCTATGGAGAGCAGCCAGCGACCGTCTGGAGAGAAGCACAACGCCTGCGTGGGATAAAAAGGAGTTATGGTCCATGTTGGTTCTGCTAGCAAGGTGTGTGGTTGCTTCTCAGAGGAAGCTCGCATCGCCATGAAAGGAACGCACAGGCCGCGTTCCCGTCGTCCCAACCCCCTAGCCACATGCAACCCAGGACCCCGCTCACGCTAGGCCTGCACTGACCTGAACACCATGCGGGTGGTAACGCAGCCGCCACCGCTCCTTGCCGCTGGCTACATCCCACACCACCACATCCGCGAACGGCGCAGTGGTGCACACAACTGGTTGGGTGGCTGAGGAGGCCCCCAGCGACGCCTCTGGCTGCACCACATGGTGCTCCGCCGTCCGCGGTGCCGCAGCGATGAGCGACCCGTCCTTTGAGGCCGCAAGGCAGCCCAACGAGCGGGTATGGGCCCGGAGATAGCGCTGTTCCCGCGTCGCTAGATGCTCCAGAACCACCATCTCCTCTATGGAGTAGGCGAAGAGGCCGGTTTCGGGGCGCCATGTGACGTTGTTGAAGCCGCTGGGGGTGTAGCCTAGCAGCCAGCTGCATTTCGGCGGAGGCTCAGGCGCCCGCGGCACCTGGGGCGAGGGCAGCTGCGGCTGCTGCTCTTGCCTGAGCGGAGGCGGGGCCCCTGCAGACGGTGGCATAAAGGGCCCGGATGGAGCCTGGCGTACGGCGATGGGGCTGCTGTAAGGTGAAGCGGACGTGTAGTTCGTCGGTCGTGGGATGACCGCGGGCGCGGTATAAACCCCGGGGCTGTTCAGTTTTGCGGCTGCCAGGGCAGCTGCAGCAGCATCGGCTGCAGCCACGGCGGCGTTTGCGACTGCAGGGAAAGGTGAGACAATTGGAGCCTGCGCCTGCTGCGACGGCAGCCCGGTTGCAGTTCCTGGCCTCACTACCGGAGAGGAACTCGCAGGCACCAACCTCGCCTGGGGTACGCCCGGAGAGGCCAGGGCTGCCGCTCGTGCCGTCAAGCGGTGGTCGCTGGCGTTCGCAACAGGTCCGAGGGCGGTAGCCGGTGTGGCGCGGCTGAGGGGGTCGCGTGGATCAAGGCCGGGAGAGCCCATGGGGCGCAGCGCTGGTGGCAGGGCGCCCAGACGCTGCGCGACGGAGGCGCGGGCGACAGCGGGGTCAAGGCTGGCGTGCGGTGGCGGCGTGTCGGCGGTGACGCGCCAGACGCAGATGCAGTCCGCGTCGCCCACAGTGATCAGGTGGCCCCGGTGGAAAGCGGCACCTGTACGACAAAAGCCACGGCTAGTTCAGTTCAGCCGGAACAGGTCGCCTTGCATGGGACCATACGCCAATACTGACTTTTGGCGTGAACAACAGGCGAGTTGGGGTGCTCTTCCCAATTAGCAACCGCACACCCGCAGCTTGGAAGCTCCCCCGGCACGCACCTAGCACTGCGCCCGGGTGGCCAAGGAAGGCTTGGTTCGGCGGCAACCCGCGCGGCTGCAGAGCCGGCAGCGGCACGCAGCCCCACACCCGCAGCAGGCCGTCGTTGCCCGCAGTCAGCGCGTAGCGGCCGACGGGGTCCATCGCCAGGGCCGTCACCTCCAGGTTGGAGATGTCGCGGATCTGCGGCAGGTGGGCGGTGACCACATGTCAAGATGTCATGCACTCATGCTCGGAATGTCGCGTTCGTATAAGAGTAAGGGCAAGCGAGCGGCTGCGACATGGCCCTCACAGCAGTCCCAAGCTCGCAGCTGTGCCAATGGCTACTGTCGCCACCGGTAAGGGTTTCCCGTCTGGACCTCACCTGCTGCACCAGCTGCCCCTCCCTGAGCTCGTAGCGGTCCAAGCGACGGAGCGAGGTGAGCGCCCAAAGCTCATTGCCATCCGCGCTGAACGCCAGCCTGAAGAACAGCAGAGGCAAGGAGTTCCGGCATGTGGGTCAAGTGTGAAGTCAGGCGCCTTCAGGACACACCGAGGAGGGAGACGCACAAAGTGAAGGCTCCACGGCGGCTTCCGCGTCCCCAGCACCCGGCTTCACACCCGCTAAACCCGCTCTCACATGCCGACCCGCCCCCTTACTTTATGTACGTTGGCGCATCCGTCTCGATGCGCATGAAGGGCGCCAATGTGCGGCCGTGGAAGATCAGCAGGGAGGTGACACCGCGGTAGGGGTCGCGAGTCAGGCTGGCCACCAGGGCGCCGTTGGGGCTTACCGCCACGCAGACCTGCGCACGGACACCAGGCAAGGACAACCTTCAGGGCTTCCCTTGTCGGCATGAGCCACAGCCTCATCATACGGGCGCCCCAACAGGCTCCTCTGGTCTTACCCTGATGTCCCGTACACCTGCTGATAGGTACTGCGTGGGCGCGTACAGCCGCTGCACATCGTACGTTACCAGCGCGCCGTCAGCGCCTCCGCTGAAGAGCCGCTCGCCGTCCGGTGAGAACACCAGCTCCGCCACGGCTCCTCGGTGCTGCTGCTGCTCCTGCGTGAGGAAACAACGTGCAGGGCTACTTGGGAATTGAGAGGCGAAGGATGGCCTTGAATGGCCAGTTCCAGCAGGACACCAAAGGCCTCAAGTGCAACGACTGAAAGCAACGGTAGCTTCGTCACGAACAAGGAGGTTTCCCAGCCCGACACCCCAAGCCAGTCGCACCTGCAGCAGCGTGGTGGTGGGCACATCGAACACACGCAGGCGGCCGTTCGCAAAGCCCGCTGCCAGCTCGTGGTGGCTGGGCAGGGGGTGGTAGGCGATGCAGGTGACGGCCTCGCCGGGCGCATCGAACTCGTACAGCTGCTGGTGGGTGAGCAGGTGCCAGATGCGGATGGTGCCGTCGGAGGAGACGGTGCAGAACTGGTCCCTGGGGGAAGAACAAGAAGAGCGTGAACGGAAAATGGGGGTTGCTAAGCACGAGTCATTGACGGTGGTGGCGGCGTTGAGGACACTGTGAAAGCGCCCAGAGCCATGCGACATGAGGCTGTTCCTGCGCATCCTAGCTGCCCATGTATGATGGTGACGTGGTCCCCTGCCCCCATGCCCGCCTGCGCACCTGCTGGGGTCCACAGCCACGGCGTTCACTGCGCCCGAATGCGAGCGCAACAGCGTGGTATAGGCGTGGTTGGGGATGTGCAGGCAGCCCAGCGCGCCGTTCTCCGTGCCGATAGCGATGCGCAGGGCGTCGGGCGACAACGCCAGGCCCGTGACGCTGCCCTCGTGCTCGGCCTGATGGGACAGCAGACACCATGCGACGACAAGATGAGCGCCGCAGCACGCTATTAAGAACGTAGAACGGTACCCACCCCCCAAGTACCGCGTTGCGGTAATGTGTGAAGCACCCCAGCGTCGTGCGTTGCGTGGGAGGGTTTCTAGGCAGGCCACCCTCTGCCGCGCACCTCTAGCAGGAAGTCCCTGAAATCCAGCGGCCAGGCTCGCAGCAGCCGGTCATCCCCGCCCGTGATCGCCAGCCCATCCGCCACCAGGAGGCAGTTGATGCCGGCCGAGTGCAGCTGGTACACGGCGTCCAGGCTGTTGCGGGGGGCGGGGTTTATGGAGAAAAGGGAAGGGGAGGAACGAGGAGGCACAGGCACATGTGGTGTTGGGTAAGGGTGAGGCACTGAGGTTGCGTCGAGAAGGAAAGGGAAACGTGTTGCAGAAGTATGGGGCCATCGGCAGGATACAAAGGGTTCAAGGAGCAGATTCAGGAGCACCTGCGGTCCGTACCTGCGGGTGGTGTAGTCGACGACGAAGACGGCGCCGGAAGCGGACGACACATACACCTGGGGACGTACGAGGGGCGTTGGGCATGTGTGATGCTACTATGTGCTGGATATTTGGTTGCTTGCTGGTTGGAAGGCTGCAGTGTAACTTGGACATCGCGACACAGGAAGGCTGCGCATAGCATCCTAGGCCAAGTCATGCAGGCTGCGGTCTAGGTTGTGAAAAGCCAAGTCATTCATGCGGACTTAAATTGCGAGGCGGCTCACCTTGAACGCATCCACGCCGTACACTCCAACGCCCGCCTCGAAGGCGATATCGGTGAAGATGTTGGGGCCCGCCGCTGCAGAGACGCTGCCGACGTGGTTTGCGGTCTGCAGGGACAAGAAAGACGCAGATAGGCAAGTGCTGGGCGCATTATATGGCAGCGGCTAGACGGGGATACCAGCGTCTGCTCTTTCAGTGTCCACATGTTGCCCGAAAGTAACCAAGCCTGACTTGACAGATGTTTCAAGAGCTCGAGCCCAGCCCTACCCGCTTCTCACGCGGCACCAGCCGCACTGACGTGCCACGCAGCTGGCCTCCCTTGAGCCGGTAGATGCGGATGCTGTCACGGCCCGCAGTCAGCAAGTGGTCCTCCTGGAAACAAAGGGTAGAGCGTGAGACTGGGGGTTCTGGAAAATCACCGCACTGCTCTAGGGTGCAGGGAAGGCTTAAAGCGACACTGTCATGGTACGGTCTTGATGTTGTCTTCAGAGCGACCCTTTCCCGTAACCAGCCGACCCGTTCCCGTCGCCAACCTGACCTGGTACGCGCTGAAGCGGAGCACCTTGATGTTGAACTCGGTTGCGTGGCGGGTCACCAGCGCAACCTGATGAGTCCGAGGGAGATGAAGAGGGAGTCCGGATTCGTGTAGGGCAGAGGCATAGAGGGCAGGGAGGGACAATTGGGCGGTGGACACCCGTGCAGTGGCGTCATCCAGGAAGATGACATCAGCATGGACTGGTGCAGACCTTGGTAGGCCGTACGGACTTTAGCCAATGGCAGTCGCTGTTCAGGACGCACCTTGCCGTGAGGAATGCGCACTTCAGAGATGTTCCACAGGGCTATGGTCTGCCGGCCGTGCTCGTCCAAGCCCACCGCCGCCACGGCGCGCACGTCTGGGGAGATGTCCACGCAGCTGAGGCCGCTGGCGTGGGCTGCAAGGGCAGGAGGACGAAGGATTGAGGGGTTTCAGAAGTGAACAAGACAACCCTCCCAACTCCCTAGTGAAGCCATGTCGATACTAACAGTCTGCCAGGTATCCATGTGGCCTCAATACCAAACATACCGCTCAAGACAGTCAGGCATACGCCGCTGGCTACGTCCCAGAGCCGCACGGTCGCCTCCTTTCCCTCCTGCGCACTGGCGAGCAAACCACCGTCGCTGCTGACCGCCAGCGCGCACACGAAGCTCGTGTGGCCCAGCAAGTGCCGCTGCCGCCCCGGCTCAACCAGCGGCTGCTGGTCCGCAGCCGCATTTGCTGCCGGTTGCGGCAGCGTGTCGGAGACACGCATGAGCACTACCATGCTAGCTGCTGCGAAGGCCACCTCCTCGGTGCCCGGGATCCACACCAGACACCGCACAAACTCCCCCGAGTAGGCGCTCACGCGCATGAGCTCTACCACCGGGTCTGGAGTCAGCGGCGGCCCCTGTACGATGGTATCTACCCCTAGTGTTGCGGCGGCGACGACCGGCCGCATGGCTGTGCATGCGCCGGCGGCGCCACCGGGAGGGGTGGTGGTAGGCCGGGAGCAGGGCCGGGAGTGCGGCGCTGACTCACCAAGACGGCTAAGAGCCGCTGAGGTGCGGACACCACACACCGCGGCCGCTGCTGCGCCAGGGCTAACATTGGACGCTGTGGCGCGGGCTATCGCGACTGTTGCGGCCCGTGGGGATAGTGACGGCGTCGCTGGGGAGGGGGCCAGCGGGGTTCCTCTGTCCATTTCTGAGGTGACGTCGTCCTCCACTTCTTCGCCGGGACCGCCCCCTGCGCGGCTCGCTGTGGGAGTGGCCTTTGCGGCGGAGCCAGGGCTCTTGGGGCCAGCAGCGGCACAATCTGTGGTGCGGCGTCTGGCGCCAATACGCTTGGGTGGCGGCCTGCACGCGTCATGGCATGAACAGCAGGGTGTAAGCTGGGAAAGCCACCCTACTCGCCCAGCCGCTTGCCAACCCTATTGTTGCAAAGGGCACAGGTTCCACCGTGAAATTGCTGGTAACCCAGTCCCGACCCTGCTTCTCAGGTACGCATGGCGACGCCGCCCACCGGCCAGCCCCGACCCCGCCTCACACAAAGTCCATGGTAGGCACGTCCGTGGGCTCCGCGGGCAGCCACACCATTTCGAAAACACTTGTATCCAGAGCGTGGGAGAGGGCCATGTCCCCAGGCAGGGTCTGCAAGGATGGTAAGATGAGATGCAGGCGCAGGTTGGGGTCGCGGGGAAGTCGCAAGGCAAAGGCATGCAAAGATGCAATGGCAGCACACCTATGGAGCACTGGCTCATAGTACGACCGCGCAGGGACGAAGGAACTGGGTCAGGAAGGATATTGGCAACCTCCCTCCCAAGCACAAGCCGCCACACCAGCGCTTCCCCTCCCTCCCTCCAACCTCCCTCCCTTTGGAATTTCTTTTTCCCTCCCTTAACACTCACATCCAGCGAGAACTTGTAGTCTGAGGTGAACATGGTGCGCACTGTGAGCCAGGAGCACATTTGGATAGAGCGAATGGAGGCGAACGCGGAGGACGTGAAGCTGCGCAGCGCAGCTCGCAGGTCCACTGCTGCCACACACCAGCGATGGCTGGGGCGCGGGAAAGGCAGCTGCACACCGTTGGTCTTGCGCTGCGTGGCGGCAAGGTGTTGGGCCGAGACGGGCACTGCCAATATCAGCGGGAGGGACTTCACAAGTTGTTGGAGGTCTTTGTGCTGCAGCTTTCGGTAATAATAGAGGAGGTTACCTTGAGTGCATCTGGCGCGTACATGTTGCTGACGGAAATCCGGTGCACGTTCCCATCTGTTGTGCCGACCTCGATGTGGACTACAAACACTTTAACGGGTGTGGCCTTGAGCTGCATGCACGGGCGAGGCAAATTAAGGTGGCCCTGATCGGCAGCAGCTAGGGTTCTGTCCAGGTGCAGAGGATAATGCAATAGCGCAGGTGCCGAAGAGACCATTACGGGGCATGGAAGAAAGGCAACATCCTAGTCGTGTCAAAGGACAGGCAAGGGCTCTCCCCATGCATCACACACGCACAATCAAGGGTGTCTACATGTGCACCTACGTTGCACGAGTAGCACAACGGCCCTATGAGTGCCAACCCGACTTACTTGGATGTAAAGGATGCGGCCGGTCAGACCCAACGTCTGCAGCTTAGAGCGTGGCACACGCAGGTAGTTCCCAGCCGGGATGAGACCCCGTACTTTGAACACCTTCTTCCCGATGACCTTGTCCTGTCACAGGCGTGCATGAGGCCATTTTCGCTTCTAGGGGTTGAAGTAACGGGGTTTGCGAACGCAAGGCGACGACACAATGCGTACCATGTGCTCCGTGACATCTCCTTTTGTTTCGACCTCCTTCATGCTCTCCGCGTCGCAGATTTTGAACACGTTGACATATGGATGCTGCCATTCTGGGCCGCAATAGTGGTGATGGACGAAGAAGGGTAATGATGTTGACCGTCGCCCAAAAGGCGTCCCTTATATAGGCATAATGCTTATCCTAACGCAGACCAACGCCATGCATTGTATACCTGGTGCTAGCGGCATTCTCCCAAGCCCTCGCTGCCCTGTTAAGGGCTATCCAGCTCCGTCGTCTGTCGCTACTCGTAAGCTTCGCACGTTTTGCAATAATTCAACGTAAATTCTGCAGCAAAAATATACTTCTTCTTGTCGCACGTGACTGCATACGGATTGGGACTGCCGGTTTGGCTTCCATTACTAGCTGTCTGTGGAAGGAAGCATCCCCTAACATACAGTTACAAGAAGCTAATTTCGCGAACCGAGAATAAAAAAAACAGGGTCCAGGTTCCGTGGCGTTGGAGTTAGGGCTGCACTTTAAATAACGTCGTACAGTGTGGAGCAAACAGCAGTCAGCTCAGTTCACAGGCCAGGATAGACACTTCTGTTTGCCGACAAATTTGCATATACTATGGAAAATCACTTGATTACTGGCAAGCCCACTTGCAACTGTGCGCTATATGTGACAGGTGAGGCACTGCATGAAGCATGTGTTGCAGCAATTACTGGAATCATCGAAAAAATAATAATAATAATAATAATAGTTACGCCGGGCAAGCCCTGGCGTGGATTAAGGGGGTGAGGCACTGAAGGGGGTCAGCCCTTGGATGCCAGCACCACCGTCAACGTGGTCAGAGATCGCATGTGTCCTTATCCCTCCTCTTGGAGGGTTGCTCGTGGGTTGTTTTCTAGCACCCTTCGGCACCTGATTATCTTGTTGAGATGGGTAAGGGCGTGGTGGTGAAGTGCTTCGCAGCACTTTGTGGCTTTGCTTGGGGTGACTCCCAAGTCTATGAGGGTTTTTCGAAGGTCTTTGCGGATGGTGCCTCCTACTCCTAGGCTGATGGCCTCCTGGGTGGTGTATTGCACGGTCCATCCATCCGCCCTGAGTAGTTCGGCAAGGCGCTTGTGCTGGTCGGCCTTCTGATGCTGTTTGTCAGCATGTCTGAGGTCTCCCGCGTAGCCTATCTCGAGGATGTGAATAGTGTAGGGTTTCGGGTTTCGTGTGCGCTTCCGGGGTTTCTGCATCGTGTTATTGCTGGCTGGCAGGCCCTGTATGATTAGAATGTCAGGTCTCATCTTGTCCCACTCTGATGCTTCGGTGTGTGGGGGTCGGAGCCATTCGGGGAGACGTTTCCCCGCGACGTACTCTGGGAGATCTTCTGCTTTTCCCGCGTCCATGACCATGTAACTCCCTCCATGCTGCCCCTTGTGTATGGCATCCGCTACAATACGGACGGCTCCGTCATGTCTTGTGCAATACATCCCGTGCATTCGCGGGTCTTTGCAGCCACCCAGGATGTGGCCCCCTGAGTCACATACCTTACGGCATACGGGGCAGGGGGGTCCGTGCCCACGGTCCTCGGGTGGGGTGTCCGGGTGCCAGCGGGTGGGGTGTCGGGAGCGCATCTTAAACCGGCGCCTGAGCCCTTCATGGAAAAGCTGGCCCCATCGTGCGTCAAATGCCCTCTTGACTAGCGCGTGCGCGTTTCGCATGGTGAACGCGGCGTTGCTGGCTTTGGGGCAGAGGTCTTTCCCGTGCTCCTCCCAGAGGCCCGTGTACTGGGTGTTGTTAGTGTATCCGTTCTGAGTTTTGGCGGGGAGTAGGTTCAGAATGCCTTTGTTGAGGTCTGTCGCACACATATTGCGTTCAGCGTCTCGCAGCCACCATATCCTGTCGTATGGAGCGTTATCTGTCGGTTCGGTGACATCGGGGTTCACCTCGCCGCGGGCTGCCGCCGTTGCCGCCCGGTCAGCTGCCTCATTGCCGGTGATGCCTGTGTGCGACTTCACCTTCAGGATGGTAGTATGCTTGTTTTCGCGTGCTCTGGTCGCTAGGTGTTGTGCGATGTTGTCTAGGAGGGGGCGGTGCTTTGAAATGTGTAGTTTGCAGGGATCTGTGATAGCTCGTTTGATAAGGTGGATTGAGACTAGTGAGTCGGTTGCGATTATTAGGTGTGGCCTGTCTGAGTGAGCTTCCAAGGCTGCGCGGATTGCAGACAGTTCGGCTCTTTGGATAGTCATTGTTACTCCGTGTCCATTGGGGTTTACGTGTAGAGTGCGTCCTTGCGGGTCGTGGACTGAGGCTCCGAGTCGTACATGTAGGGCCCCGGCGTCTGGTTCGCACTCGAGCTTGCTACCATCCGTGTAAATTATTGCATTTGGGTTATACTTCAGCGGGTACCGTCTCGTGAAAGGGGTGTCTGCAGGGCTACGTGTCGCATCCGTTTCCGAGGCGTTGAGTTTTTCTGTTGGGCGTGGAGGGTCTGGTGGGGAGGCAGCAAATTCCTTAAATCTCTGGAGTACTCTTTGGCTGTACATTCGTTTGCCTGGGTCACGGCGGGATCCGTCGGTCAGGTCGTCTGGGATGGATGTGGCGCCGAGTCGTCTGAGTTGCACCTTCAGGAGGGACCATGCCTCGGTGTTCAGAGAGGTGAGCCCGGCGTTGTTGGCGACTAGTATTATTTCCAGTTTGCGGGGGCGAGGACGGTGGTCGGTGCCCGGCACCTCTCCGGCGGCAGGGGTTAGAAGTTCACCGCCAGAGTGGGTTACTTGGATCACGGCAATTCTGCGCGCATATGGTGTGCCATAGATCTTGGTGTGCGGGGCGGCCGGTTTGCACGGGGCGAGCAGGAAGCTGACGCTGAGGGTGTTTGGGGGTGCCCACTCTGCGCTAGCGATGGCCCACGTGGCTGCTCGGAGGGTGGAGGGGGCATCATGGGCTGGGTAGGCCACAGTGTTTCCGGTGAAGGGGGTTGAGAGGGCCCCAATGTTGGCACCGAAGAGTTGGTCTTCCGCTTCGTCGCTGTAGTATGCTTCTGCGAGGGGGCTGCACGTGAGGGGTGTGCAGAGGCGTTCTGTGATTGGGCTTTCTGGGTTCACCCGTTTGAGGGCGGTGCCTAAGGCCTCCATTAGCTTGGGCGGTGTGCCCGCTGGTTTCTGTTGAGTATTGAGTTTCCGATTGCTTTGGTTCCGCAGGAGGAGGCGGGCTACGTTTTCCTCAAAGCTGCGGCCTCCTGAGAGGCTGCGGTGGAGCTCGCTATGCGAGGTTTGCATGTGCAGGTAGCGCCGCCATAGGAGGAGGAGGCGCGCAGCGGGCATTGTGCCCAGGCATATTCCCCTGGGGTTGTAGATGTAGGCGGTGCCTTCATTGCGTACTGCCACTGATGCGGGCCCTCCGGTTAGGGGGGACACGGGTTGCACTCCGGTTTGGATGTGGTACTTTCCAGTGGGGTGAATATCGCTGTCCGGGTTGCATGGGCTGCCGTCGAGTGTTGTGTGGGCCCTCGTGAGGCTTCCGTGTTCAAACTTCTTAGGGGTGGGCGGGGTCCAGTGTCCTTGCCTTTGCTCATTAGTGAGGCTGTGGTCACACGGTGGTGCTGGCTTGGTGCCGGGGTCTCGTCTAGCTCTTTTGGCGCTGTGGGTGATGAGTAGGGCCATCCAATCGTCCTGTATCGCTATGTCGCGTTCGGGCATTTTGCATGGTTCCCACTCGACGTATCGTAGCAGCTTGCCCCCCCCTCTGCCCAGCTCTCGTGTTGCAGGCCTGCAGAGCCGCGGGTGGTGGCCCATTGCCTCGTATGCGCATAGAGCCAGGGGCGTAATGATGGTGGGTGTCCAATCGACTGTATAGTAGCGTGCATGCGTTCCGCTTGCTGCGTGCGAGGGGGGGTCTTGTGATCCGCTTGAGGTTCGGTTGGTTACTTTTCTTTTGGCCTCTCGCTCGGTAATCTCTCGCATGGTGTAGGGGCCGTCTATGATGCTACGCACCCTCTCTGTCCCATTATAAGTGCCGTAGACGAGCTGGTTGGCGACTGTTGTGTCCTGGGGGTTGGCGGAGATGTGTGCGGCTATGGGTCCGGCCTTGTCTCGCAGCCAGTGTAGGGTTTGTTTTTGCATTATACGTGATACCGTGCGCCCTGCACCTTGCGTGTGGCCCCCGGGTGCAGGTTGTGGTTGTATGTTCTCCGTGTTTTGCTGGGTTGCGTTGGTGGTGACCGGTATGTTGCGGTCGGCTTTGTTGCGCAGGTAAGACAGCACTGGGTTTTCAGTGGGGTTTGCGGCAGCGTTCTGGTCTAGTCTGGCTTGCAGGGTTGCGCTTATTGGACGGCTGGGTCTCATTCCGTCTCCTGGGGTGGGGTGCGTTGGGGGGTTGAGCGTTGAGGTAAGGTGCTGTTTCGCGTCATGGAGAGATTTTTTCAGTTTACGGGACACCTGGGTGAGGTCTGCATACATGGCTGTCGCGTATTGTTGTGCGTGTCTACAGGTTGTTTGATTGCGTGCTTCGGTTGCTTCTAGGGCCGCCTGGAGTCTGTGGGATTGCGAGTTCGTGGTTCGTACTTGGGTGTTGTGCACCCGCGTGTTGGCATCGATGAAGGCTTGTTGTCGGCGGTGCGCGCCAGGTTTGGATTTGCGCCGTGCTGGTGGTCTGGTGGGTCTTGCCGTGTCGGCTGCGTTGTCAGCGGTGGCAGTGTGCGCTGTTGCTGTTACCCTTGTTCCGGTAGCCCGTCTTGTGTTGGTGTCATGCACCAGGAAGGGTGTGAGGGTGGGCGCGAGGGTTCGTCTGGGTGCTGGTACTGCGGTGTTGTGGATCAGGCCACTCAGGGTGGGGATGTCGGGGATTCGTCGCTGGTGTTCGGCAAGGGGTTTGGTGTCGTTATGTTTGCGGGGGTCGGGAGTGGGGTTGCTTGCATCTAGGTTGTGGGGGTGCAGTCCGTTAAGGGCTATGCTGAGGCGGTTGAGGGCTAGTTTGTGTCGGTTCTGTATGGTTCGCCTTTTGGTGTATAGCCGTGCGAGTTCGTCGGTGTCGATTAGGTGTCTCTTTGTGTTCTTATCTATAAGATCATGGAAGTTCAGGCCTATTTCTGTGAGGGGTAGGAGGAGCCGCAGTGGGAGGGTTGCGTCGGGGGTGTTTTGCGGCATTGTACGCTGGATCGCCAGGAAGATGGTATTCACTGCAGGGGCGAGATTGCTGCCCATCTTTGTAATCTCTAGGCCGTTGTCTTTAAGGAGGCTAAGGCGTTTCAGGGTTGTGTAGAATCTACCTTCTTTCCGTATGTCGTACACGGGGAGGGTTCCCATGACGGCATGTTGATAGCAGAGCAGTGCTTGTGTGATTATGCCAAGGCGTCCATTGTCGTTCAGTGATTGTACAAGGGTCCGGCCGGCGTGTCGTACGTATTCGGGCAGGAGGGATCCCAGGCCTAGTCCGAACTTGTTGGTTGGGAGGAGGATGGCTCGGGTGGGGAAGCCTGGTTTGAGACCGTAGCATTTCTTTG